TTTGTTTTCACCTACTTCAGCTCGTGATCTCATTGGCGGTCTCTCCTATCTCAAATTGTGAAAAATCATATGAAGGTGATTCTGTGCGAGTCAATCCTGCTTGGAAAAGCGGTCACGGAGGGCGTGATCTCTTTTGATGTTTAGAGTAGTGAGCTCTTGCATGTTGTCATATTGTAAGTATGATTCAAGACCGGAAAAGTGCTGCCGACAAAGTCCCTGGAAACTGGGTCATCGATTGTTACGCGCACTGCAACTTGAAGCCAGAATCGACTGAGGGTGGAATCCAACATTCTTCTGTCACTTAGCCAGGGGCAGTGTGATTTTAGGCCCTTCGGCATGCTCACGCCATTCCAATAGGGAATGCATTTATTCGCTGACGAACGTTAGTTGTCAATATCGGAACTTCCGTTATGCCGAGGGCTCACTCTCGCGCTCCGCCGACAGCCGCACCGCGACTGTTATTGGAGGCAGATCAATATGCCCAGCAAAGACAAGGCAGACTGGAATGGCCATTTCTGGCTAATTAGCCGTCATCAGCCAGTCATACCTTAATGTATATGGGATACTACCCTAGGGTATAGAGCGGTCGGTTCCTGATCAATAAATCACGGGTTCGAGTCTCCGGGGGTGCACAACCTGGGGTTGGAATCGACTGCCTGATGACGGCTAATGAGCCTGAAATGGCCATGCCAGTCTTCTTTGTCTCTGCTGGCAATGTTCAAAGACACTAATTAATGTAAGCAAACTTCAAACAGGAATTTGGGTGTTGCGTTTGATTTTGAATGCGAAGGCCTTGCATACAACCTTATGACAAATAATACTGGAAGACACCACCTTGTCTCTAATTCGCATCTTTTTCGCTACCTTTTAACCAACGACGGCTACTTCAGTTGGCTTAAAAGTTGAAACATTAACTTAGCAGCAGGGATGATAATTAAGACCAGCTTTCTTCGCACATAACACTTGACGACTGCAGCCGATCGTTATCAACATCAATAAAAGCAGTTAACAGATCGCTTGCCGAATTCCCAGTAAAACGATTTACCTGCTAATTTCAGATTTTAACTTTGGTATCGTTTTTCAATCAGTGCTAGGAAGGACACAGGGGATTAAACTGTCTTTTTATTGGTAATGACAATATACTCACCTCAAATTGTTCGTCAAAGTTGGAGAGGAGCATTCCGCACTCATCTACATCAGAACCGTAATCCTTGCTCACTACACTTTGCTCCATTTCAGAAAGCCATCGATTGAGATCATCCGCCTGGGCGTTAAATGTATGCACTTCAGTGTGCAGTTGCAGCTTTTTCTCAACCAGTTCCAAGTACTGCAGTAACATCTGGTAGCGAGAAGTTAGTTCTTCCTAAAGAGAGCAGAATCACGCATGGGAATATTATCTACAACAGTTGAATGGGTAGGGGGAGAAAAGGATATTAACCCCCCAAGTGGTGTCAATAACTTTCCATCGCAATACGGCAAATCGACCATACTTCGCATGTAGCCCCTATTCCGAAAGGCTGCCTTTCTTACTGCACATGTTCTGGCTAACCAGAATTCGTTGAAGTACAAACTATGATTGGTTGGGTTATTTGGGGAATCCCAACTGCCTTCCGTCTCAATCTGCGTTGGCGGTCTTCCACTCAAACATTACTTTTGTAATTTTATGTAACAGAATTAACTACTGTAATCTATAGCCTAGCGGAGTCACGTGCAATTAAAAATCTCTATAGAATGTATGCCCACTGCCCAGAAATAGATATCCATAGTTACCACGCTTTTGTTATGTATGAACCCACGCAAAGGTTTCGCTAGACAGAGCAGACGTTAACAGACAATGCTTGTTCGCGCAGCACTGATTAATGCTCCTCCATTGTCAGTTAGCTGATGATACTTATATTTTTAAAACAAACTTTGGTCCTGGATGCGTCGCTTTGCAAGGTGTCCTCCAAAATACAGACCACTCTAAAGTTTCAACTATTAAAAAAAATAATTTGTGAATACAATTCATTAATTTTGCACTTGGCTGGTGGTTTTCCGTCAGCGGCCTACAACTTCTTCACGAAAGGATTAAATTGGCGTTTCTGGTACAGTACTTTCTAAGGTTAAAGGTACGCCCGCAGATCTGGACCCATGAACCCTTCTCCTTTACCATATCCCCTCATTTCACTCCCTCCCCAAAAAAAATTTTTCCTGATTATGTTTCAGTCAAAACACCCTCTGCAAACATTCCGTAATTAGCTGCGAGAACAGGAAATTTGTTGTAAATTTTTGTTTATATGGTACGAACAGCTTCGGCGGAAGCCCAAGCACATCGAAGGATTGCAGATATTGCGGAAAATTAATCGAGTTTTTCAAAGGTATTGAATATTAGCTCCATAGCCCTGTTGAGAGTTGATCTGGATGAAGTATGAGAAAGTTGAGAAAGCTATGTCTGATAATATAAGCTTCATGTCATTGCAAAAATACAGTAAACGCTCCATGTTCAATTTTTATCATATTTTCTGTGGGATGCGTAAACCAGCTCACAAACAAATGCACCCATCTAATCGCCAATTATGCAGTCATTGGACGCGTCAAGCACAAACGAAACTCGATTAACAGAGAGGTACAATATGGATAACTTTCTAAGTAAGCTTACCGTTTCACGCTGTAGAATGTTCACCTTCGGCCTGGCTCCCCTGCCCTGGGTGTCCATTGTGTCAGCATGTCTCTGCATCAAAAGGAGTAGAGCTGGACCTGGAACACTATCTGTCCTCTTCTCCGTGTCTGCAACAACACGTTTGTTGGAGGGGCCGCCACTTGACTGTTGAGTCACAACCAGCTGCACGCGTACTTTCAGGGGACCAATAGTGTCTCGGTTGAAGGAGGCAGCATCCACCAGCATGTCCTTGACCTTCTGACTGGCAACTTTTGTTCCATTGCTGTCTGTCATCGGAGCAATCTGTCGTAGCGGCAAAATCCGCACCCGAATCCACTCCTCTGCCTCGTTGATTTCATTGAGGAGCTGCGTTAAGTGCAGAATAAGTAGTGACAAGTTATTGGCGTAGCATGTAGCAAGGATGAAAGTTACAAGACCAAGCAGCCAGTTTCGTAAAGTGTTACCTGTAGAGTGGTGTAATTCGTAAGGAGTAACGCTCCGGTGTTTGCGATCCTCTCCTCTAATTCGGTCTTTTGATTGTTCAGCTGAGACATTGATAGTACTGAGTCGCCTACAGTTCCTAGGGCCAACTGGACCATTTTTCTGCGAGCTTGGTTGCTGGTGGTTTGCTTCTCTTGCACAAACCCATTTACCTTGTCACTGAGTTCTTTGAAAGCTTGATCCTTTGTCACGACCTGTGCAGCAAGTTCGGCCAGGCCTTTTAAATGACGAGAAGCGTCGGCATAGTCCGTCTTCTAAAGTGTCAGCACAAAGAGAAACTGAACGCGGGAACATGCCTCTCTGGCCCTTTGGAAACAACTGATACGAGTATTACAAAGTGCTAAATACTTGTTACTTTTTAAATTAAGTACAATGTTTTATTTTAATTAAGTAGATAGTCGATTTATTAAGTTTTGTACAACAGCGCATAACAAACCTCGGATTTCTTCATATCAAGCAGTGGACTGTCCATTTTTTCTTTGAGCCATATACTCTCCGCACGAATCTCCTTTTCAACAGTGCGCCAAGTCAGCATGATTTGGAGGGCCTCCTTACGTCCAGCAACGAGTTGGGGCAGTACGTTGGTTAGACTGTCGTTTAGTTTTTGGGCTTCTTGGACCATCTGTGCGCCTGCAAAATGTTCGTCCGCCTGCGCTTTCGTGGCCTTATTCAGCAAATTTTGTCCCCGCACGACTTGCACCGCTTTGATGTTATTTTCGATTTCCTAGAGTGTTAGAAAATGCAGACTTCAAGACAGTTGGTAAGTGTAACGTTTGGTTTATTAACTCTTCCAAAGTGGGTTTCACTGAAAGCTGTACAATGTCATTAAGTCAGGCGGAACTAGTTTGAGAAATGCACAATGACTTGAAAATATGCGCAAAAAAGCGTATGTGTATTGCCATCAATTACCGTTTGTCTGTCGAGGAGTTTTGAAAGAGCCGTCTCGTCAGCGCCATAGTCATCCACCGTTAACTCTTGTTCGGTGGCTGTGGCCTGGGCAAAAGCCTCGTCCATTTGGTGACCCCACTGGACCACTTCGTTAGCTTCAGCCATGCGTGTATTCTTCTCTTTGCAGGTGTCATGGAGAAGATTAGCAGCGTCCGTCAGCCGCGTAACTGTGTCACCTATTTTTGCTGCATTTTCGGATCGCGTCTTCCTCAATTCTTCTCCCTTGTCGCAAAGTTGTTTTACCATTTGCAGGCCAGAGGTAATCTGAAGAAGTAAAGTAGGCATTATACCAGTTTACTATCATTAACTGCTCTCCATATGAACCCATCATAGTCAGATTACTTGCTTTATTACAGTAGTACAGTATTGCGAGTGCTGCAAGAAACTTTGATGACGAAATTTAACTTGGTAGTTTAGCATATATTTTGTCAGTTTATTTTGATAAACTCAGCGGATCTAATAATTAGAAAGGCTTTAGTTTGGAAAATTGCCCTCTTAGCTAAAATTATGGAGCGAAATAGGCATTAATTTTGGCTAAATCATGAGTAAATTTATAACGAAGAAATTTCCTATGCTATAAGGAACGATATGACCAAACGTTTTATTCATGTGCATTGTGCCATGGACGAACTCCAGAAAAAGTAGAATAAACTGGAACAATGATCCTTCCAGAAGTAAAAAAAATCTTATGCGAAGTTTATCAAATAGAAGTGAAGCCAAGTTTAAGGAATCGCATTTATTTGCAAAAACCTTTGAGATTTATATTTTAGAAATTATGTTTAGCTATCATGTGAAGTTTCCTCGCACAAAATGCAGTATCAAGAACGTTTTTTATGGAAATTTTGTTTTACCACACCACTGTCCTTGCACATAAGCAAAGTGTTGCGTATGTTACCGTGAATGTAACTGAAAGGATGCCTTATTGAATGGCAGTCATGTAGAAATATAGTTTATTGTAAATTATACGCTCCGCTAATGCGTTATTTAGACACGGAACAGACAGAAGAATAATGAGTATTTAGAAAAATGGCCATATATGGCCACTTTTTTGCACTCGCAAGCTTACAACAGGTCGCGGAATTAATACACTTATGCGGAAAACAATCCATTATAAAGAGAAAAGAAAGTTCTTTCATCT